GATTTGTTTCAAAATTAACAAATGATAAAAGTTTGAAATAGACGTGAATCCCTTTAGAGCCCCAAATTACCGCACGTGTAAGGGAACAGATTGGATGGTAAATTCTAGAACATGTTCACACTTCTCCTTGTCATCATTACTTAAATTGACTTGGCGCGAACATTCGGCCAGAACCAAGGTTGTTAATGGGAGTCAACATCAAATATTGATGAGAAGGGCACAAATTTACCGAAGAGCGTTGAGAGACAGCCTTTTACGGCCTCACAAAAGGTTTAGAAAGGAGAAAATAATTGACAACAGTCTATTTCGGTACAATGGTTTAATATTAGTTACAGTGAAAATCGATAAAATGACTATTTAAAATGTGTAAATGTACGTCAAGCTAATTTTAACATATGATCTCTGTGCGGAATAATATAGAATTAAAGGACAAGTATAATACGTACTGCAGAATTTACCAAATAAACCCATTTCTATGTGTTAATGTACTTTATATTATATTTTTGGCGAAAAAAGGAAGACTTTTCTTTTAAATAAATCTCCATTTCATATTTGTTTTTCAAAGTTAATGCTCTGCTTAATTGCGAATGATAGTCGTATTGTTTCGTATGTGTTCTCCCCTTGATAACTTTAGTAGACTCTACCTTGCATTCTTCTGGATGAATCAATTATGGTTTACAGTGGTGAAAAGGTTAAGAAAATATCCAATGCTTTGCTCATAATTGATGCCAGTGAGGATAATTCTAATTGAAGAGTGTAATTAGTTCAATTCAACAATAAATAGTGACGCGATCAAATGAACTGCTTTTTCAACTGGCGTTAAACAAACGAGTAACAAATGAATGGCAATTCTAACATAACTATTTTAAGACCCGTTGACGAATGCCATTAATGGCTACAGTCGTAGACATACAGAAGGATACAGACATATGTCAATGACGTCGGTAGCAGGGCTTCAGAAGACTCATGTATAAACTAATATATCAAATGAATTCCCCAATTGAAATCAAATCAGAGTTTAACTAGAACACCGTCTATAACTAATGCGGTTTTTATTTTCGTACTCTCTGACCGTGTAACTGTACTGAAATTCCCGACGGCGTAATTTCTCAACGAACGTTAACTCGTTGTTTTAGATTGAACAGTTTTGAATAAAACGATCTAAAAAACAAATTATAACTATCATCAAGTTTAAAACATATGGGAAAAAAATGTAAAGGTCTTAGCACGCGCTAACAAATGACTTGTTTTGCGTAGCACTGTGGCTTTGCCACTGTGTCGTTGATTTCAGTTAAATCAGAAATATAAATCTGAATTATTGCTTCAGATTCGGTCAATACACCTGTACTGATAGTTTGGTAGAGTAACTAATTCATAAGGAGTTCACCAAACAATTAAAGAAAATATATTTTTCACATTTTAAATATTAAAACTTTGAAAAAAGTGTTTTACTCCGGAAAAAACAGTCAGCATGTAAAGGTTTAGAATGCCAATTTCACTTTCGCCAAATCTTTTAATCTGCAAAGCGAGTTCAAACGAGAACAATATTTTTTCTATACAACATGCATGTTGGGTCAATGTCTTGTTAATAGTATACATGTACTCCTTATTTTCCTGGGTCTGCAAAATCCGTAACTATCACAGTACGTACGTAGCTATGCATGCAATCCAGAGAAAAACGCATATAAACATGAATGCACGTGTATCGCCGGAGCATTAGTAATACAGGCTACAGTATATAATTATAACAGCGTGCGGCATTCATCGGCAATCCGTTCATAAAACATACAGGCTCATATAAAACAAGCCGTCTATCATCGTCATACACAGGATCATGTACTGGCCCTACCCTGTCCTTTTTAGGATACTAGAATGGCATTGATACAGCCCTGAAGAAAGAATGGGACAGCCACTTAGCCACGCGCGATGATTGGCTACACGGCACGCGCGGTCGTCATAAAGCACATGGTGTCTATCTTTGTATATTGATCCAGCATGTTTATGGAGTCACCTTTCGTCCTTCACCTATCTATGTATATGACTTGGCAGGTGTAAGGAGTTGGAGAGGACCACCGGGGATAGTTCGGGAGAGGGAGGGGAGAGGAACGACGGGTGAAGATCTATAGCACCCTGGCGTGTTCAAGGTCGCCCAATCTCTTATAATGATTAGGACATTAAGGAGCCTCTTTAAAAAGTATTAACCCTCTGTCTACAATGTATACTGATATCGTTATGCATAAAAAAAAAAAAAAACGTTGCTTATATTTGTCAGTCTGCATATTGTGTACACAGCTTTCTGAATGTCATTAAGTTGCAATGACAAGATTCAAATTTTATTTGCATTTCTGTGTCCTTAATATTTTGAACGCATTGGTTCGAAATAAATCTGATCTTTGACAGTGCGTGACAAAGGTACTGTATCTGTATATTCGAGAACCCAACAGTACGAGGTAATAGGTAATATATATGATGTCGGCCTTAGAAACTGATGCCGTAACTAAAGTAGAAGATAGCATAAAGATAGCATTTAAACACCATACATACTGTAAAATTGAACAGTTGGGCGTGTGGCACTGTTCGCGTTTCGTTCCTTAAAGTTGATCGCGGTGTGGAAAGTTTCGCGTTGACAAATGATCTGAAATATATGTATTCTTTTTAACTATTATCTATAAATAAATATTTGCGAGTTGATATTTTCGCGCTATTTCACTCAACGCAAAAAAAAAACCGGAACATTTCTAATCCACGAAAACTTCAACTTTGACAGTATGCATTTTTCTTAGCATGTTTTGACTTCACATTGTCTTTGCATGCATATCTTTTTTGATGTATTGCCGTCAGAAATATCCTTTACTCCTTGATACTCCATATACTTCTAAGCCTACTTGCACCAACGAGATGAAATTTTATCTGCAGAGTATATAGTCAATGACATTTTGTCTCGCAGAGATGCCTTGATAGATACTAATTGCATTTTATCGCATTTGGAATAGAGCAGAATCAAATCAAAGAATTGGTCACCATGCCAACCTGAAACATCTGCAAATAGAACCCAATCCTAAGCAATACTTGTAGAACTGTATAACAAGAACTATTCGGAACCCGTTTGATTCGTTTTGGCAATAGATATTTCAAAATTCCGTGGATTAGCCGCTTGGGAAGCGTGTGCGACATTAGGGAAGCCTGTCATTATAACAGGTTTAAAACGGACAAGGAATCGTAGGTTTTTGTACATTCTACCAGCGAAATGATGTCTCTTTCTTTACTGCCTGAGATCATCATCGTAGGTCTTGGCTGTCTTTCTGAGTTATTGATTTTGTATCAATTTGACTCAGAGACTTTTTCTTTGAAAAAGAAGGATAGCGCAGTACCTAAATTGCGGGCTGCTATCGACATGCACACTTCTTTTGTATGATATTAAGGTAAACTAGCTGAAAACTATGTCTGTGCCGTATAGTAGTGGAAACTCGATGATTCCGAAAACATTTGTTTTCTTCACTATAGCACATGGCCGGAGCACCCTTAATAACCAATAAGCAGTTGATTGGCGACATACCTCGAATGTCTGGTAGAGTGATGTGAATAAATATTTACCTTATCAACCAACGCTAATTACTTAAGCGTCCGTGACACGCTGATGGACTGTCCGCCATCTTGATTCCACATTCGTATTTTCAAGCGTCCTTGCCCGTGAATGATTAAGATGAGGATAGCATAATTGGGGGTATATACACGTGGTAATAGTATAACTGTCGTTATCCGCGATGCGCTCTACTCTACAGAAGTATAAACATACATGTGTGCGTATTGACCTCTATATGCCATGACGTCAAAGTTTTTCGGGTTGTGTGATCTGTGTGCATAAGTAGAAAGCTCTGTCATGAGCAAATGCCACATAAACAATAACTTGTAAATGTTTGCTCTGATCTTACACTTGTTGGCTGACATAGGGTGTGTCGATACGTGGAAACTGTTAAGCAAGCACATACACTATGGCCGTGTGATACCACCAACACCTAATAACGCAGACAATCAAGGTGGCGTACTTACATTTCACCATACCAATAGTAAACAGGGCTTCTTATAAAGTAATACGAACAAGAGGTTTTACTCTATACCGAGATCACTTCGTGTCAGCGTTATATTCGCCTCTTCGTATAATGATCCAACCGCAAATTCAACAATGCAACGAACATCTTTATTTTCAGACAATATTGTAAGATCTAGTTCGAGACTAAAGAAAACAAACAAATACACAAAATATATCATACAGGTTACTTTATGGTCAATATCCTTACAAATAAAAAGGTAACAGCAAAATGACATTTATTTTCATTCACGTTATAATCAAGTATACTGTTGAATTTTGATACTCAAGCAGTAAAATAAAGTATTGTATGAAATACCACATGCCAGCATTAAATACACAAAATAAGATGAAAACGGTTCATTGTGGTAAAATACATGTTTTGCGGACTGACCCATTTTCCGCAAAGTTTACGGTGCGCGATTACATATATTTTTACAGTTGCTATATTTCTTCCATGTGTGCCTTAGGCTTGTTTATTAGCTCACAAGATATACACAGATGCACAGATTTTATTCTGACTGTAGGTCTTAAATAAATCCTCTGCTGTCAGCTCAGTACGGTTTGAACAAATTATGACAAGAGTATGGACATACAAAGTGTTATCTAAGTGGTCATTTCAATAACATTAATCATTTATAGTTGAGGTGACAATTAAATGCATATTTTCCAAATAAAAATATGTACGTGTTCACAGCATTGGTTTGTTAATCATTAGAAAGTATATTCAGTTGATACATATACCTACGGCTGTATTATAAAATTGATTCTCTATATTTATAGAGTATAGGTTGGTTTCCGCAGTGTACATTAAACGTAAGGCATGTTAAGTAAACATCAGCGATTATCAGCTGGTTGACTAATATTTTCCGTATTATAAACTATTTTTAATATTCTTTTAATCTGTTTTCAGAACTCACCCTCTAGTAACCATGACTGACTACCTTGTAAGCAAATGGAAGATCTGGTACAAGTCTCTTGACGTCAACCACGATGGAATTATCTCCATCGAAGATGTGGAGGAGTCACGGAACAAGTTCACTGACCTCCACAAGCTCGTTGGAGATAAGTCTACCGGCGTAAAGGTCGATATGCAGAAATGGTGGGATACTTACATCTTCCTCACCCCCGGCGCTGAGATCTCCGAAACTCAATTTGTGGAAAACTTGGGAAACTCATTCAAAAAGGACAAAAAAGCTTTCTTGGCAACCATGACCGCTTGCTTCAACATGATCTTCGACGTCATTGACACAAACAAAGACAGGTCTATCGATTTGAATGAATTCATCTATGCTTTCGCTGCATTCGGTCACGAAAATGAGTCCGTAGTCAGGACAGCTTTCGCCTTGCTCAAGCCAGACGATAATAATACCGTACCACTTCGTACCGTTGTCGACGCCTGGATCTCCTTCGTCACATGCGAGGATGCTAGTAAAACCGACGTTATCAAGAGTGCTTTTGAAAGTTAACTTATGTGACAATTAATTGATTTTAAAAACACATGAAAAAACCCAAATTGTAAAAAAGACAAAATCTGTTTACCTCTGTGCAAGGTCCCTGTTCGAGTTCGTGAGGGCTACTAAGTCCGGAAAACTTGTTTGGGAGGATATCGTCTGTCCTACAGCGGTTTTTTCACTGTAGGGACTTCCGGTCTGGATAGGGTCACTTCCGATTCCGTCAGTTTAAACCAAGGAGCGCTCCTACATTACAACAAGAGGATGAGGTGTTAGTCGACTAAAAGGGTTCGCCATACCAACCTGGCAACTCCAGAGTTCCATGGTACAATACACATCAGGGAGATTTTTTATTATACACAAAGCGCGCTTTTGTATTATAGGTGTTGCCATTTAATATTGTTGGACAAGTTCATTCAAAGATAATTTTGTTTTATAGATATATTGAGATATATTTATTTTACGTCAGGCAATCGACTCATGTTACTTAATTTATCTCCGTCTCATTCCCACAAACGCTTGATCCATATGTTGGTCCAATAAATGTTACTACCTAAAACTGGCGTTTGATTTTTCTCTGAATACCTTGTGGATGGAAACGCTTGACATACAACTGTATCATTTGAGAGTTGAATATTGCTTTAATCGATTTCATGAGGTGATGGATTGAGTTGGTCTTGAAACAAACTCAACCATAAACTGCAAAATGTTTTAGGACCAACTCAATTCATCACCCCCATGAAATCGACCGAAGCAAGATGTAATACTTATATTTCAATCAACGTGTGCATTTCCAATAATTGGAACTTGTGAAAGTCAATTCTGATAATTTTTAAAATATTCTGGAGCTTTTGCAATTCTACGTATTGACGTAAAGTAAGAAATATATAATCCGCCATTGAAGGACTATCATACAACATGATTGTGTACGCTGATAGTTCAATACAACCAAATTACGAAGAAACAAAACACAAAAACATATTTAAAGTGTCATATTTATTTTTTGTTCGTGAATTCATTAGTTTACATATAAACCTTTCTGATGCATATTCATACGCACAGGCAAAGTTAATCTGGTCAATTTCATGAGCAAATGAAACAGGTTACATTTGGTAGTTGCATTCAGTTCCATTTGAGTAGAAATGATAGTATATGTAATTGATGTTTGATTCATATCCGCATTTATTACAACACCAGACATACTATCTATGACAGTTATTTGTATTCTTACCGGATACTGTAAAAACAAATATTTTCGCAGTAAAAAAATGTTCGCGTTTTCGCGATGAGAAATTTAGAGCGATTAGATTTAAATCAACATGGAAATATTTCTTCATCAATTGTAGATATATAGGACATGTGTACAGTCGTATTTGCTTAAGCGACCACCTGTATTAAACGACCATTTGCTTTATGCGGCCACATTTTATTCCTCTCGAAAGCTTTTATTATGTAATTTAACTGCATTAAACGACCATCTGTATAATGCGACCAACGAGCAACCATTACTGGCCCCAAAGTCTGTGCTAAACAACAACATCTGATACTATTTAGCATTCAGTTTTGACGAAATCCACCAAATGATTGTCTTTTACCAGTGAAATAGCTGTGACTCTAAGCGACTATCACCAAGTTTGAAGAAGGGCTTTTTAACCATTGTTTTACCTATTCAGTGAACTAATTTGACGAAATCAATTTCTGAACCATTTCTAACGCGAACATTTCCCAACCGCGATCAGAACGCAAACATTATAAGCAACAAGTATGTACCACTGTAACAGTAAAAACGCTACATATATATCATGCTATAACTATTTGGTATGCGAACACTTGACAACACTAAACCTATAACATATATCAGAACACATTTAAAAGTATTATAATTAACTGCAAAAGTAGTATAGAGACGTAATATGATAATATGTTAAAATAGATTTATAAGAAACAAATATATTGCAGTGTTGATGCAAACATTTGACAAGAGAATACCGCCCTGCCAACAAAACATTGACAAGAGAATACCTCCCTTCCAACAAAACATTGACAAGAGAATACCGCCCTGCCAACTAAAGTTTGACAAGAGAATACCGCCCTGCCAACAAAACATTGACAAGATAATACCGCCCTGCCAACAAAACATTAACAAGAGAATACCGCCCTGCCAACAAAACATTGACAAGATAATACCGCCCTGCCAACAAAACATTAACAAGAGAATACCGCCCTGCCAACAAAACATTGAAAAGAGAATACCGCCCTGCCAACAAAACATGGACAAGAGAATACCGCCCTGCCACCAAAACATTGACAAGAGAATACCGTCCTGCCAACAAAACATTGACAAGAGAATACGCCCTACCAACAAAACATTGACAAGAGAATACCGCCCTGCCAACAAAAAATTGACAAGAGAATACCGCCCTGCCAACAAAACATTGACAAGAGAATACCGCCCTGCCAACAAAACCATACTTTGAACTCAAAATCGATAAGTACAGGTAGTGTGTTCACTTAGCAACATGTACCTTAGAAAACAAACTGCATGTGCTGTTGCGCTCATCGATTACAAAACGACAACGTTGTATTGCAAATTTATTTTAGCATATTTTGTTAAGAAATACCAACACACACCTTGCTTCTAAGTATTTAGTTACATGTATCTCTATGCGAAATTATTTGCATAAGTTATGTTGCTCATATGAAAACAATCCTGTTTAAAGTAATAATTATTACGTGTATTGTACCGGATCTGTTGTTTGAACGATGCATAGCATTTCTTAAATAAAATCAAAATCAGTTATATGTTAAAACAAATATGTGTGTTTCAAACGTAGTTTAGATCAATTTTGATTTCCATTTTTTTGACTCCAACCATTATCGAAGAACGAAACAACTGTATGTTTTTTTTGGAATATGCTATATATATTTATAAATTTCAGAGAACAATACGAGGATTCCGAAGTGTTCAAACATGGTTCCAACTCAAGGAAATGTGTATATATAGACCTGTGAACAAATATTAGAAGAAATAGACCGGGTGCTCCGGAAGAGTAAGCGTCTTTTAAGTAATGTCACGTCCTCACATCGATAACCTGGGTAGTGAGGTCGTCGACTGAACGTCCTGATTGCCGGCTCCCGTCACCTTGCAAAAACTGTACTTTAATATAGATGTTTTTCTAGAGTGGCATGTTAGCATTTTATAACACTCTGATCTATTATCTTTTGCTTCAGTGCATCCGTTGATTGATAAAATGTTTTCCAGTAGAGAAATCGAACATGTTCTGAGAACTCACCTTCTACTTGTTTTGTCAGCCGCCATCTTTTAAACAGTCCCAACGTTTTTGTACATGCTTCACTACAGTGAAACTCAAACTTGATAAAACTATAGCAAAATGTGAAATAAAGGAAAGATTTACATGGAGACACTTGAAAGCATACAAAGCAAAAAGGACGAGGTGTTCCAGAAGGATAAGCGATTGTAAATCCAGGTTAAATCCAAGCGATGTCATGTCATACATACCAAATACTGCAGTAGTGACACCATTATGTCTAAATTTTATCTTTGTAACATATGGTTTCAAATATGCAGGTTGAAGAAGAACATGGACAAGGTGTAGGGTTGCCGTCAGGATCTCACAGAGAAATAGGATTTTTTGTTGTTTGATATGAAGGTTGAGGTTTATATTATGCTCATTGGAGTGCTTTGATGTTTTGTGGTCACTGACGTCAGAGCACCCAAATTGATACCTCATTTTAAAAATCAAATCCTCGTTAATAAAGTATGCGACATTTCATGTTTATGACGTCTCAATGTCAACATTTACCGTCGATTCAACAATGTTTTCCGGTATGCAACAGCTTATTTTTTCTGTAAACATAATTCGAAATGGGCCAAGTCTCTCCCAGAAGAATGCACCCCGAACCATACGAACCCTTTTAGCATTTTTAGACCTTATCATATAGCCTTTTAGTCATATTTTATGCTATAAAACCAAACCAATCAACGTAAATGAGACAACGTGATTACATTCTTCTATTTAACTTCAAGTGTGTGCGTGTACTAGCGACTCGACTGCTGTTGGTCTTCGCCATCTTGTTTACTTCGGACTGCGCATGTCAAAGCTATCTAACAGGTGTCAGTCAGAAAATCCGGATTTGTTGTCTAAGAGATGTGGGACATATTTCCCCTATGCCATTAAATTGGCAATCCCGTCTTTCACATAACAGATTATTTAAAAAAAAACAAAAAAACCGGACCAAACACTAGATTAAAAATCATTTTTTGCAACTCAACATGCAAAAAAATGCTAAAAAATAAACAAATGTGGAAAGTATTTTTTGAAATTTTTGACATCCTTCACAAATGACAGCTTATGATAAGCTTGCTTATTGTTTATAGTATCTGTGATTATAGATTTACTTATTTGTAGTACATTTGGTCAGCATTACAGAGGAGACATTAAATAGTATTTTCATCACTGACTGAATAACAACATTAAAATAGGAAACTTAAAAACTGACCATTTTAGATTTTACTTTGCAGAACAAGTTTCTTAGGCAATTCATTTCCATCCATGTTTTACTCTATTTTCTAAGTTGAAAAGTCAGTAGTATGGCTACATTGTATTTGTAAGCTTTAAACTCTTCATATTTAGAAAATACTCAAGTTCTCGATTTGAGGACGTGGCATTATTTAAATTCGAAATAGATATACATGGCGGGTATCATGCATGAAACAGAAGGCGCTTACTCTTCCGGAGCACCCGGTCTATTTCTTCTAATATTTCTTCACGGGTCTACATGTAAATCTTTCCTTGAATTTGAATCATGTTTGAACACTTCGGAATCCTCGTATTGTTCTCTGAAATATATAAATAGATTTAGCATATTCCAAAAATAAATAGCACTGCACTATACATCTGTTTCGTTCTTCGATAATGGTTGGTGTCAAAAAAATGGAACGTTTGAAACACACATTTTTATTTATTCAAGGAATGCTATGCATCGTTCTTATATTTATAATGATATGTTACACAGTTCTGATCAAATATATTCAGTCATGCTTGGTGTTGCTGGTTGTAGAAACATGAACGGAGTTTAAGTCGCATTACTTTTAAACAACAGATCGGGTACAATACACGTTATTAGTATTACTTTAAACAGGATGGCTTTCATATGAGCAACATAATTTATGCAAATAATTTCGCATAGAGATGCATGTAACTAAATACTAAGAAGCAAGGTGTGTGTTGGTATTTCTTAACAAAATATGCTAAAATAAATTTGCAATACAACGTTGTCATTTTGTAATCGATGAACGCAACAGCACATGCAGTTTGTTTTCTTAGGTACATGTTGCTAAGTGAACACACTACCTGTACTTATGCAGGTTTTTATTATCATTTATATCATCTTAAATACATACGAAACATGAAGTAGCGAATTTAGCTATGCATACTCACATTTAATATTACACGGATCTGACATCTAGCTTGCAATTATAGAAATTAAGAGAGGGAAGCTTTGTGTAATTTAAATTTAGCAAACATGACTATCAGCTTATTACTTCAAAACAAAAAGGAAAAGAAGAAAAGTAATGCATTCCTGTCTAAGGAGGGACAATTATTTCCTAGCTGCAAGAAAGCTGATCAAGATATAATGTAGATATACATAAGATCACATGACCTACAATATGATTTAAACTGTAACAATATTTGTGTATAAATGCTTATCTTAGTATAAACAGTTTATCGTATAAAAGATGAAACACACATACCAATAATGAGGTGTATAGTAAGAGATATTTTTGTAATGTGTATATTTACACTGATTACATGACAATGGAATTGAAAATAAAACATCTGTCTTCGCTGATGACAACTCCATAAATCAATATAGGACACTGCCACTATCTAACCTAAACTCAACCCCGATCCACAAGTGTATGAAGTAGGTAGATTCAAGAACCTCGTTTTGAAAGCAATATCTTAATGACCTTTCCCTTGTTATGGCAGATCACAATGTCTCCCTGTAAGTAACTGCTTTCATTTTGAAAGTGAATTGGTTTCCGACCCTCTGCCCGCCATAGTGGATCTCATAGCTGCAATATCCTAGAATCCAATTTGGTGTCGAGACGGTTTATGTGGCGCAGTGATATAAACAGAATTTCACACAGTTGACTAGCATTGCCCTTCAATATAATATTGAAATTTTGTCCATGTTTTACATCCATTAGCTCTGTCTAGGTAACCCGAGGTTCAATATTGCGCTACCGAGCTCGTAATTATACGTTCAAGCGAAACATGATTATATATTAACACGCTACTTCGTTTACTTTTCAATTTAGATTTTTACTTGCTAACACGATATTTGACTCTAATAGTATTAAAATCAATACTTCATAAAAATACACAACTTTCCTGATTTAGTAAGGTTGTCTGTAGTATTAAACGATGAAGATGTGTATTTCACTACCTCCACACATGTACAGGCCAGATGGGTCTTGTCCGCGCTGGAGGAGGTAGTTACATGGGCACGGATGCAGTTCAAACCTCGGAAATCACGTTGCATGATTATGAGGAATGGCAGACTCAGCCGACAGTTTATACTGAAGGTCCAAGAGGAGGAGATACCTTCAATCATTGGCAGCCCCATAAAGTGCCTAGGGAAATGGTTTGATGACACACTCAGTGACAGCCAGAACCACAAGAACACCCAAAATCAAGTGCGCCAGTGGATGAAAAAGATCCACCAGTCGGGATTTCCTGGAAAGTACAAAGCATGGATATACCAACATGGCATGCTACCAAGGCTCACATGGCTGCTGCTACTGTATACAATACCATCCTCAGCAGTAGAAGGGTTAGAGAAGATGGTGAATGGGTAAGTGCGGAAGTGGCTTGGGGTCCCACCAAGTTTCACATCAGTTGGGTTGTACAGTTGTTCGACAGAACTGCAACTACCATTCAAATCGATCGTTGAAGAGTTCAAGGTAGCAAAATGCAGGCTGGTGATGACTCTGAGGGACTCCATAGACGTGAAAATCAGCGAGGCAGGGATACAGTCAAGAACAGGGAGAAAGTGGTCAGCAAGCACTACAGTTCGTGAAGCAGAGAGTATGCTCGAGTTGAAGGATATCATCGGGATCACCTGCGTCGGAAGACAAGGAGTTGGCTTCTCTCATTTCCAGCAGTGGGAGAAAGCAAATACACAAGAAAGACGGCAAATGGTGCAGAAAGAAATCAGAAGGATTAAAGAGGAAAGGAGGAGAGGGAAATCTGTGGAACTCAGCAAACAGAGAGCGTTGACCAGATGGAATTTCCCAGAGAGGAAGATATCGTAGGCTGAAATATGGAGAATGGAGCCCTTCCGGATATCATTTCTGCTACGATCCGTGTATGGCACGCTACCATCTTCTGTTAACCTGCATCAGTGGGGATTGACGGAGGATCCTTGCTGCAAGCTATGCGGAAGAAGAGGAACAATGGCTCATATCTTGTCTGGTGGCAAAGAAGCACTGCGACAGTGTAGATACCGATGGAGGCACGACAACGTCTTGTGGGTCCTAGCAGATATCCTTGAAGTGGAGAGAAGGAAGAAAAGAACTGGTGTAAGAACAAACCAGGCTGGTATCAAGTTTGTGAAACCAGGGGAGAAAGCCACAGTGAAGCCTCGAAGCACCTCATCCATCTTTGAACGGGCGTCAACATGGGAGATGAAGGTTGACCTTGACAGGAAGCTTGTGTTTCCAGGAATAGTGG